ATGTCTTGTTCGTCTTTGTATTGTCAGGGGCTGGCAAAGTGCTGTCAACCAACTCAACCCCAACGTTTCTTCCGCACTGTGTGCCAAGGGCAGAGGACGCCATGGTGAACGAGAAAGATGAAAGAGCTGACCCCAACAGCTGGACTCAAGACAAGACAGGCCTGGATACAAAGAAACAGCTCCCACCAGGACAGCGCTTTAGAAGAGACACGCACGCAGCCGTACGGAAACACTCAGGTGAGAGAGCAAAAATCTAGTGTGAGGAGGCACACATCTGAGCTGGGAGGAGCAAGCCAGATGAGTGGGAAAGGCAGCCTAGAGAAAGTGCTGAGCCAAGGTACAGAGGAATGAAAGGATCAGTCTGGAGAACGCTGCTGGTGTGGCCAGAACAGAAGGTACAGAAAAGGGGATGGCTGAACCCAGCTGCCATGCCCAGGGGTCTGAATCTTACGGGTACTATGACAGCACTAGGAGTAGTTACACAGAGGAGGAAGAGGCTCAGGTCTGTTTTAAGAGAATTACTCTAGTGATCATGTGAAGCATATACATGGCAGGGTTGAGGGGAGATGTGGACAGACTGCTCAGGGGCCATATTAGTACGTTACTGGTTTCACTCATTTCTGCGGGGTGAAGCTAGGAACGACAGCAGTGTTACAGGAGTATTATAGGCAAAACTGGAGAACCTAGACCACGGGGGTAGTAGAAAGGATGCCACGGTGACCAATCAATGAAATGTGGCAGAGGGAATCAAGAACTGGCCAAGTCCCCAGCACTCCTCAATATTCAAAACTGCACACCAAATGACTGGTACCAAACTACACTGTCTTGGAAACAACGACCCCGCTAGACTTCCCATCTTCCTGAATGTGGGCAGTATAAAGAAGCACACCCAGCCCATTTGTCATTATTATTAGTTGGTTACCATGAACGAATTAACCTCAACACTGGGGGGAGGAATGCCAGCTCGTGCAAAGCATAAATGGGCCCAGGGAGGCTCACGAGAAAAGTACCTGCAATTAAAAGTACAGCATAGGACAAAACTGCCAAAAGCATTCTTCAATCCAAAAGATCAGAAAACAGACAATTCAAAAAAAAAAAAAGAAAAGAACGAAAGAAAGAAAAGAGAAGGCACAGTTATTTCATCAGTTTATAGTCTGAAAAACCCCTACAGGAAATTTTTAAATTTATTTCTATCATGAAATTCAGTATACATTGTTACATTATTAAATACCAGATAATTTTATAGGTTTTGGAGGAGCTATTCATGCTGAAAAGCAAAATGCAGTGGGGAGGCCATGGAGCCCAATGAGAGATAACTAGCAACTGAAAATCATTTGCGCTACCATTATCCCCCAGCCAGCTTTTGTTTCTGTACTTCCAAAAATACCAGAGTATTCCTATAAATATGCCAGTGCTGGCAAACAAACAATGATAGAAAAAGTTCTTCCCTCCACCATTTCTACTTGTGCTCCAGTTAATTTAATATGAGTGCAGACAATTACAAAGGTCTTTACACCATTTCCAATGTGATGATCAGACACCTAAATTTAGTTCACTCAAACCAGGGCTAAAGAAGAACATTTAGATCTAGTGGGTCACCCAAGATGACTAGAACTTCCCAATCTCTCCATGTCATTTCCGTTTGTCTTTTTTTTTTCAAGTACAGTGAGTCATAGTGGATAGATCTTTCTCCTCTGCACAAAACAGTTTTTCTCTGTAGAGAATGTTATTTAAATAAACATCATAGGGATATTTTAATATTCATCTTGCTGGACTATAACAACATGAGCTGTATGCAGCAGTGAGGAATAACTACTGTTATAACATGGCTTCAACCTAGTCAGGCATCACATCGTATTTCATGATGAAAGCAGCTACAAAAACAAATGTCAAGGGGAAGAGTGGCCCATTTTACAAAGCCTGCCTCTAACACGGAATAAATCTTGTCCTCAAGTCACGAGCTATTGTTACAATCTCCTTTATCTGAAAACAATCAAATCATTCACAACAAAAAGTAGCGAACAGAACAGTGTCAGAGAAATCAAAGAATCAGAGATGAGAGAAACAGAAAAACACCTGACCCCAACCGTAAATTACAAATGGAGGGCAGCTTCTGAGCCGTTTTCATTCATTCAGGCCCCCTCTTCTCTCATTCTAGCTGCAAAAACCAACCCCTTTTCCCGGTCTGTGTTCTCTCCTCTTTCGGACAATCAAACCAACGCAAGCTCCAGCTCACTAAATATTACTTCCACTTTTCAAACCAGACATACAATTGTTTAAATGACAGAAAACAATTTTAAAGCCATCTACATATGCCAACGCTGACTTTTTATAGACCTGAATGCTTATTAGTATCTATGCTGTTTATTAGCATTAACAATTAAAATTAAGACAATTAAAAGTTATGCTCACTTTATCAAAGTGAGCGAGCGTTAAGTGGAGACTCTTTGTCTGAAACATTTGTTTTCTAAGCTACCACATTCCTCAGCATTTGAAAGTCTACTTCATCCTTTGTTCTTTTCCCAATTGTTTCCAAGTTTTTGCATCTTTTTGTTCTAGATACAAGTACAGTGAGAAATAATTGCACTGCCTTGTTTACAAAATTTTAGGCAAAAATTACATGTTATTCTTCTAATCACAATAGACTAAGCAAGCTCAAAATGACTTTGTATAAGTCTGCCCACATTGTGACACGCTAAAAAATATTAATTTTTTTAACTGCCATTTTCTACCAACCATAAACACATTTCTTTGAATTCTTGAAAAACAACAATTTTGGTAAATTGACACACACTTTGGAAACTATGCCACTTTAGACTCAAGGTCATTTGAACTCTACGTTTCTAAAAATGCCACAGTTGCCCAATAAAGAGCCACTTTTAAAGTCAAAAAGGAGAAGAGCTTCTCATTGCAATTTTAGAAAAAAAAAATATCTGTACAGTAGAGATGAGAAAGCCCATAGTGGACAATTCTCTAAGATCAAAAGAAACCACTTGCAGGAACGTGGCAATGCATTAAGAAGCTGGGGAAATCTCAACACACAGCAAACTGACTAACTCCTTGATAGACAGACAAGAACAAGGAGGGAAATTAACTGAAGACCAACAGGCTTCTCGCTAGCGGCATGCTTCACACAGTTTTAACAATGCTTGGGTGACAGGTAGACTCTGCCCTAAAATACTAAGAAATCAAATTCAACCAAGAACTTTTTATAATATGAATTTGTTGTTGCCAACTCAATGTCCCCAATGCCTCCCGGAAGCCACCTCCACTTGTGATGGGGTAAATCATAATCAACCCGAATACTTCAGACCCACAATTTTTTCATTTAAAGCCACTTGAGACTCCACTGCATTAAACTGGATGCAGAAAATTTATCTACACATTCTCAAAGTCACTAGCGGAATTCATTCAATTAACTCAGAGAGACTAGATCCAGAATACAAATTTTATATATTGATCGATCATACTTATACAGATTACAAGGGTCATAAATATTAGTCTATCAGAAGTTAATACACAGTACAGTCCAAGTAAAAAGAATCCTGTCAAGTAAGCTTGACGCAAATCCACATGAAACCCAGCCAGTCAAGCATACCAAAGACCCGCTTAAACGTTCTTCCTTTTTCAGTGGGGCTCAAAATAGATTTTAACACCACCAGCTGATGGATCTCACAATTTGCCTCTTGAGCCTATAAGCTAAAAGCAGAATAAACTGCCTTCTCCCTTTACACAAGTAACAAAATCTCTCTATTCTGCACATCGCCCATTTAAAATACCGAGTGTGGTTTTGGTTAATCTTCACAACCCCCGCAATGACATTTAATCGGGAGCACATATTTTCTTTAGAGGACTTAACTGCTTGTGAAAGCAGATCTCTTCGCGTCTTTAATCTGATGTTGTAGAGACATGTGAGAAACCCTATCTTCCTAACTTTTTATTTATGAACCCCCATAACCCACAAGGAGATGAGAACTGGAAAGACACAATCATCTCAGCCATGACCAAAAGACAAGATGCTCACCGGGGACAGATGCTATTTTTAGATGGGGCAAAAACGTTAACCTTCCCTGTTGCCTGCCTGAAAGGGAAATACCGTGGCCCCAGTGGAGTGGGTATCGCAGGCCTTCTGGCCGGAAAGCTCTCTAGCCTGATATGCTCAGGGCTTGCTGCTGCTCCTCATTCAGCTCACGAGCAAACGTCCCTTCCTCTGACAGGTCTTCCCTGACGCCCCTCTCCGAGGCAGCCCACCTTCTATGCAGTCACTCTCCACCCCATTATGATGTTTCGTTTCCTTCCCAGCACTTGTCACCACCTGAAATTACCTGCTGACGTGTTTCACTGCCCTATTCAACTCTAAGCTCCAGGGGGGAGGGGGTCTTGCCCTCTTGTCCGGCAAACATTACCTCCAGCGCCTAGGCAGTGCCCAGCACGGAACAGGCAGGCCAATTCACCTCCATGAAATGAATGAACAGGAAGGGGGAAGGGACTGTCATCCCCGGGACTCGACGCACAGAGACTAGAGAAGAGGAAACGTGAAGGAGGGAGGAGAGAAAGCCTTTCCCCTAGGGAGACAAAGGAAAAGAGGACGAGGTGGTCCAGCCCAGACAAGGAAGTGGTAGGGGTGTTCCAGCGACCCCAGGGGACAAAGGGTGGACAGGCGGGGGGCGGGGTCAGGGTGCGAGGACCGGCGCCGAGAGCACCGGCGGGCGGCCGCCGGGCCCGAGG